TGTGGTTAAAAAAAATTAGGAATTGGCTGGTCATTTTTTCTTGATCACACCAAAATTCTCTCCTAGTTTTAGTAATTACAGTGGCAAAGGCTGTTAATAACACCTAAGATTAATTTGCTAGTGTTTATTTGGATTCTTTATAAGTGCAATCTAAAAACTTAGTGGGAAGTATTACTGAAAAATATGCAACAACTTGGAAATGTTACAGGAAATGATCCTGAGCTGAGTTTAGGATTTAGGATAGTGTTGTTCTGGTTTGCTAACTTGGTTTGAAGTCAGAATCATTGTGATTTACAGATACCGTGTGTTTGTAGGGTCCAGGGCTTTTGGGAACTCCCAGTTAAACCAGTCTCAATTTACTTTGGCTAGAATCTGGCCACCTGTGTAGACTCTAAATAGTTAGCAGTTGTTTTGATTGAAATTGGGATCGCAGTTTATTAAATCAACATGGCTATGTCACAACTAGATTTCTGATATTTTATGAAATGATGGATGTTAAAAATGAATTGTAGATACTCATAAAAAGTAAGTGTTGGTTCACTGAGCATTACTTAGGGGACTACATACAGGACAAGAAGCAGTTTTCTTGATTCTGACTATGTAAGCTATTTATTTTTTTGCCCATTTATTGGGCATTTCTTATGTGTCAGATACAGTGTTTGCTCCGTACCTGTATTTATCCCATCTTTAAGAAGTTATAGTTAGGTAAGGTGAACCAGAGCATATAAACAAGTAAATGCAATGAGGTGTTATAGGTACTTTGTCAAAACTGTAAAGTATACAGGAGGGAGAGACTAATTCTGTCGTTTTGGGATTGACATACTTTATCCTGTGGTCCCAGACCTTTAAGGTTAATTTCATTAAACATTAAAATAAAATATGATGGTGATGTATTGATTCTTATGAGGAAGCAGTAGCTTAGTTTGTAATATGTATTTTTAAATTTTAAGTCATCAGTTAATACTGAAGGGCTGTTATATCCCAGAAACAGAAAAATAAACACCAGAATTTGACTTTGAGATCTAGTAAAGGTTCAACCATGTCCTTGAAGAAAAATATGTTTCTTGTGAATTGAGTATCAGACCTTTTTGCTTATACTTACTATGAAATGATGTTTTCCCAGGTATGGATAGGGTGGAGGCAGTGGGAGTATGAGAAATGTCATGAAGAGTAAGATAGTAAAATCTGACTCACAAACACTCTAAAGCACAGGACCTCCTGGGTGAGCACCGTGATTGGACAAGTTGGCAGAGCTGGGGAGAACACGGGGGAGATGAAGAAATAACATTTTTTATTAAGTGAAGACGAAGATGAAATTTGGGGTTTGTGGATATGGAAAAGAGAGTGTGTCTGGCATCATGCAGAACAACAATGTTTATCAAAGAACATGTTTCTGGAAACTTTTCTGGTTTTTAGCCAAGGAAATTCATAAGTGGGAGTGTCTTAAGACGCTGCTTTTAGATAGAAGTAATAGCTCCGTCTGGAAGAGTGACTTCCTGCCGGAGCTAGTGAGTGAGGCGTGTGTTGCCTGACAGCCCCCATGCTATAGGTCAGGGTATCCGGAGAAGAAAAAGTACATGCCACTGGATAATTACAGATATCTGACTGCTTAAGCGCTTCTACTTTTCAAGCCTGAACTGTAAACTTTATTTCGTAGATCCCTTCTTTTCTTTTTCCTATGACTTCTCTTCCCCTCTAGATTCTTAATTTCCTCTATGCCTCTTCTTGGTAGCTTTTAGATATGTCAGACCACCCCCATCCTTAGAGAAATCTTTTCAAGGCTATAGCATACTATTACTTCTGCGTCAGCTTGTTCACCTGTTAAGTTCATAAGTGAATTGATTTCCACTACTTCGAATTTTCTTTTAATCTCCAGCTTCTTGATTCCCTGTAAAATTTTGTTTCTGCCTCTACTACCCTATTGGATCTGCCTGGCCTACCCCTGCCTTGGCTTTTCTTTGGTCTTAGCTTCCCTTTCTTCCCCCAGTCCTCTTAAAGGCTTCTCTGCCAACATACCTTCTTCCTACTCTACTCGATAGGATTACTACTCACTGAGGATCAGTCCCTGACCCTCTTTCTTTTCCTCTACCGCTCACTTCCTTTCATGTCCCTTCTCCTTGGTTCATTTGTAAAGCTCTCCTGCATAGCTGGATCAGCTTGCTTTTCTGAAAGAATCTTTATTCTGTAAAATCATCTACATAACCTCTTGCTACTCACAGTGTAAAAAAATTTTTTTAACATGTGTGTATATATATTCTGCCTTGTATATTGTCTAATTTAGTCTCTTTATTTGTATAACCTTGTATTTATGTGTTATCTTTTTACCCCTAGAGTTTGAATACCTTAAAGTACCTTAAACTGTCTAGTGTATAATACATGATAGTTATTTAGTAAATGATTGTTAATGATTAATAAAAATTCAGAAATAAAATTAAGTATTAGGGTACATTAAATGTCCTCCGGTCTTTCCCCATTAACCTTTTTTTCCACTGATGATGATAACAGCCAGCATTTTTTTTGCTTTACTACGTTATTAGGTACCATGAGGAATAATTTGTAAGCTTTTTTCCCCGCTTAACTCTCACAGCAGCTCTGTGAAATAATGCTTTTATTATCTCCATTTTACAGATGAGGAAATTGAGGTTTAGAGAGAAAAAGTGGTTTTATTTAAGGCCTCCTTAAATCCAGGTCTTTCTGACTCCAAAGTCCATATAACTAACTACTGCACTCTATGAAAGCCGACATTCGTTTTTAACAGGTTTGTTTGCTTTTTGTTAAGGAATGCGTACAGTAACACTGATAATTCAGTTAAAAATCTCAATCCAGGAAGAAATGCCTAAAAGAGCCACTTGATTTACTTCCTGTCTTTATCCATGTCCTCAGTTTGAAGTATCAGTTTAAGAACCTGTCTAGAAATGTACTCACGTTTTACACAAAGTTAGATTCTGTACCCCTGTTTCACTTGAGTCAGTTGTCCTGGATTTCAGGAGATAACGCTAAGCCATTCTTCTGGTATGTTCTCAGCACTTGAACTACCAAACAAGTTTATCCATTAAGTAATGCCAGGAATTGGTTAGCTTCCTGGAAACAGAATTTGTCAACCTGATAAACCAGCTCTTATAATAGCATCATCTCATACAAAATTAGAAACGATTTCTCTAGTCATACTTGTCATGGATTTGATTTGAAAAGCATGTGTGTGTGTCCGTGTGTATGTATGCAGATCCATCTTGATTCCATATATGAGCTAAGACAACTGAATTCTCAATTCCAAGGGTAGTTATAGTAAAAACTCCACGAATTCTGCTGTTAGGACTATCACTGGATGCTCCTCAGAAAACATCCACCTAGTCGTAATCATACTTATAGTGACTCCAACAATTTACTGTTACAGTTGGCCCAATAATTTTATACATGTAATATTTAGTGACATATAAGCCAATTTAATATATAAGTTTACACACACACACACACACACACACACATAGCCAATTGTCCTAGCTTAGCTGTTATGCTCTAGTTTTTAAATCTTGGTGGGAGGTAAAAAAACAAACAAACAAAAAATGAAGCAAGTTCCCTTTCTTTAAGGAGCCTATAGGTAAATTTCTAGAAAATATAAAATAATTGATGGGATATATGTGTTTTAATTTTGGTAAATGTCTTCTGTAGGTACCTACTTCCTCCTCATTCCTTATCCCATTTACCACATTCTTTTGGTGCTACAGTGATATCACTCTCATACTTTTGTATTTATTTTGAAGTAAAATCAATTGGTAAGCTACTCTACTTGTGTTTCCTGCAAGTCTTGAATCTAATTTTGTTTTTCTGAGCAGGCAAAAATCTCTTCATGGGCACCCTTCTTCCTTTCCTGCACCTCCTCAGAGGGCATATGGGGCACCTTAGCAAATTTGGTCTAGGAGGAGAGAGGCAAATAATACCATTTTATTTCCCATACTTCATGCTGCTCTTTCCTTTTCATGAGGTGTTAGAATATTTCCAAGAGACAATGATAAAAGGGCAGAAGATAGGCACACTCTTTGGGTGGAATCTTCTATACTTCTTTTAAGGTGTGCCCCAAGTCCCTAAGTGACTCACTTGTCACTAAAGCAAGTGTAACGACTCATCCTTCATGTCCCTTTGCAGAGCAAGTGATTTATTTTCAATTCCCCAATGCTATTTGAGCACACAAGGATCTCTTGACGGACCTGGGAGAATTTTGCAAAACATGGAACTGGGCTGGTATAGTTTCTGGGTTATGGCCATTTGTCTTCAATGCATGAGAACTCTAGTGCTTATGCTATTTCAAGAAAGGGGGATTAAAAGTAATGCGAGTCAGGCAGAGACAATGCATTGCTTCGTCAGTTAGGGAAGAAAAACAATAGAACTGCCTTTTGACTTCCCTGTGGGAAGCAGAAAGCCTGTAAACTTGTTAAGAGTTGGGAGACAGGCATTCAAAGGCTAGGCTTGTAAAACAACTTCTTTTCAAAGCAGGGACCTGCGGTTCTTGTTTGTTACCTTTTAAATATGCTCTTCTACATATGATGCATTAAGAATAAGTCTTTGACTAACTCTGTTCCCTAATCAGCTCTCCATGAATTCATCTTTTCACTCAGTACTCTGTTACACTTTGTTGTGGTGTTCTTCACTTCACTCCAACTTTTCATCAATTTTTCCTGGTTGAGTTTCTCTGGCACTGGAAGAAGTGCTCTGTTTAGCACCTCCCTTTCCCCTGGTGAATTGGTAGCTATTGCTGCCAGAAATGATTGGAAAGCTGTTAAGAATTCATTAAAAAAAAAAAGAAGAATCCATTAAAATTCAAATCACCATAGTCTGACCTCAGTTATCTACTTTTCAAACATATCAAATGCATGTGATTATAGTTACAGGGTCTGTCATTTCACCTGGGCAGAACTCCCTGAGTATTAGTCATATAGGTTGTTGAAGAACTTTTCTAGTCTATGTTAAAGTGTCTTAGCCCATGTGCTCTCTTTCTTTGCAGATGAACAGGAGGCATTGAACTCAATCATGAAGGATCTGGTGGCCCTCCAGATGAGCCGACGTCCCCGGGTGCCCGGATATGAGACCATGAAGAACAAAGACTCGGGTCACCCAAATAGGCAGGTGTGTGCAGCCATGGCTAACTTAACTAAATTTGTTGGGGAGCAGTTTTCAGGTGGGAAGTATGTGAGAAGCTGGTGATACTCTAATACCAGGCTTGAATGCCATTGGCCCCTTCCTTTCACAGTCTGTTAAATGGTAAGTGATGTATACCAACCAGGTGTAGGTCATGATCTGGAGTCCCAGTGCCTCATGCATCTGACCTTGTGCATAGTGTTTCAGCTGTGGAGAATAAGCGTAATTTCTTCACTAATTATGGGGACATTATTCATATAATTTTTCCTTTACTAATTATTTGGCAAATATTTTATCCAGATTCACGATCCCTAACTTAGAAAGTATTTAGCTATCTTACAGTATATACTTAGGAAAATTAATTGATTTTAGTATTAATTATGTAAAACATAATTTGGAAGAAAAATTTATTTAATGAAACATATATTCTAAAGGTAACAATGTGTGATTTTGTTATTGTTTATTTTGTGATTGTAGTTTCTCCTCGTTAACTCAGGTAGTTGAGAGTGCCTGTTATATTGAGAGTTGTGCTTTTTAAGAAAACAGTTTCTATTTTGTTAACATTTAAACTTGTACACTGGTGAGAACCTTCTTCTCCCCTCCAGTGTCATTTACCTCCCTCTTCCTGGGTCCTTTGGCCGGCAGAGAGGAGTGAATGATGGTGAGCTTTCCTTCCCAGTGGGTATCAGATGTTTGTGTGTGATGTATTTGATGAAAATTTGTCCGTGAAATCCTCCCTTGTGGTCCTCCCCATTACCAGCTAAGCTTCTCTCCATTATCAGCTAAGCGCCTGTCTCCTCATTTGCACCTTGTCTACCAATTCTTCAGAAGGACTCTTGGTTCCTAGAGAAAGTATAAGGGCCTAGAACTTTTTCTGTCTGAAGTCTGCTAGATATAGCCCCTAGAGTATTTCCTGCCTTCAGGAAAACTAGAGACCCTGAGTTCTTTTGTTTCTGTTATAACAGACAGAATGGTTTAGAAAGCTGCTTTTATTTTGTGTGGTTACCGTACAGAATTGGGGGAACAACAGAATAAGGCCCATTCTTACACTGTTCTTATACATTATTCTGATTGTGTGGGTTCTCCTTTGCTGTAACTCATTTCTATTCAAAGCTGCTTTTGGAAGGAGCTTTACCAGAAGTGAATCCCCTCCCCCACGTTTGAGCCTAATGACCTCACTTTCCTTCCTGTCTTCCTATGTGGAGTGTGCTTGCTAGCGCTGCTCCAGTCAGCTGATCTTTTTCCAAATGGGACTATTAGCGTAGGTATCAGTTAGGAGGTGAAAGGGGGAAACTTTCTTGAGTTGAAAGGCCCAAAAAGACCAGGTAGAGAAGGGAGGGCGGTGGAGTGGTCTCTGATTATTCCCTGAAAGGGGATTACCTTTTAGGAATCCTAATTCGAGCAGAAAAGCTATTATAAGAAAAGCCCTAATCTTTTACTGTGACTGCTGCTGTGTTGTTGGAGTGAAGGCAGTGTTTATGGAGGTAGAAGGCTGTGAAAAGGATTTACTAGTGTTAGCAAGTAATCTTAAGAGGTACTAACTGTTTGGACCCATAGTTGACTTGACTATCATCATTTTTTTTCTGTTGCATGAAGAATACAAATTATTAACCTCAGTTTTTTTGTTTTTAAAGAAAAAACACAACAGCAGCAGCTCAACCCTTCTGAACAGCCCCACAGTAACAACAAGCTCATGTGCAGGGGCCAGTGAGAAAAAGAAATTTTTGGTAAGGAACGAAATTACTCGTTAAAACTAAAATGTTCTTTTAAATTTGATACTAGTGCTGGAAGAGTGTGGAATTCATTTCCTGGACAAATTGTTTTAGTGGATTTATAGGGAGCACTGGTTACTCATTACCTATGTTCTGTCACCGTTTCTCACAGCAGTATTACTTATAAGTGGCCCTCTGTCAGTGCTGTGCAGTAAACTTCTGTGATGATAGAAATGGTCTAAACTTGTGCTGTCCAGTGCAGTAGCCACTAGCCACATGTGGCTATTGAGCAACTGAGGAACTGAATTTAAATTTTTATTTAGTTTTAATTAATTTAAACTTAAATAGTCACAAGTGGCTAGCAGCTATTATCTTGGACAGCACAACTTTATTATATATTATATAAGGGACTATTGGTTTGTTGGGCAAGACATTACATACATGCTTGGAGATGTGTAATGGTTCATTGGTACATTCACTCCTCCATACAGGTCATGAATTTCTACGTGTTGTGATAAGCTTATCAATGGGAATCCTATAGATTCTGTTCCAGGGACATAGGATTCTGGGGGGAAGGTGAAGCTGTGGAACTAGCATGGCTGTTTAGAAATTGAAGCTCAAAGTTTTACGCTAATATTGGGTAAAAGGGCAATGAAAACGTCCAAATAGCTTCTCCCCTTAGTAAAGCCAAAGTTGTAGAAGTGTCTCTCCTGGGAAGTATAGCAGATGTTCAGCTGCTGACCAGCAGTAGTATTCTTCAGCAAAATCCTGAAAGCAGGAGAGAGAAAGTCTCGGTGAATGCATTTCCAAGGAAGGATGGGGTGAGCTATGGGGGTAATGGGAACATTTGTGGGGAGAGGTGTTTACAGCTTAATGTAGTAAAAAGAGCCCAGCCTAAGAGTCTCAAGATGTTAATAATCTGTTAACATAGGACTTTATAGTTTACAGAGTGAATTCACATTTTTTCATTCTTGTTTTTGTTGCTTGGGCCTGGGATAGGATTAAATAGTTTTCTCCATTACCAGTTCTTCTGCCAGAAGGTCATGCTTAGGAGAGAGGAATGAAAGATCAACACCTAATTTAAATGGCTAAGAGATGCCAAATTTGTCTGAGAAATGTCAAATTGGGCTAAAGATTGAAATTGCAGAGACCCAGTTGAAAATAACCAAGTATTTTGGCCGGCAGGAAAGGTGATTTGTTCAGGAGGAGATGGCGCTGGCAGAGGCAAGCAGCACTCCAGTGTAAGGTGGCGGAGCTGGGATTGGCATAGCTTCATGGCTCACGCTTGGCGCAGCAAAGAATGCCAGAGGAGCTGGCCGTTCATTGACAGAATTGTTGTGAGCTGAGGCCTGGAAAACCTAATTTAATATCTCTGCTTGGCAAGACTCCAGACATTCTCTTCCCTGAGTAAACAGGCTAGGTAATTAATTGAAAAAGAACATATTTGAGAAGAGCTAAGCATTCTGAGCAGCTGTGGAAGTACATGGGCACGAGGTGCTCGGTTATCCAGTGATGTGCTGGGAGGTAGGATCTGTGTTCTCTGTGCTCTCCCACCTGGACATTAGGTCCCTGGAAGCCTATAACCTGGTTAGAGCTGGCTGCACATTTTTAGCTGTATGGCACATCCTAGGTGTAGCTGGGGCCTGTGAGTGGTTTTATAGGCCAGTGTGCAACATCTCTTTAGCAGTCATCAACTCCACAGTGCTTGATGGTGGACAGTTTAGTATAGTGAGAAGAGCACCAGGGTGGCAGTCATTGAATTGTTCATAATCCATTAATGTGGGATTTTACAGTTTACAGAGTGCTTTCAACAACAGTTAACAACAGTAACAACAACTTTAAGCATGTGTGTAATATTTTAAAGTTTACAAAAACACTTATGCAAAGGTATTGAGTAAAGCCAGGAAGCAAACCCAGCTCTTCTGGCTCCTGGTCACGGTAATTTTAACATGTATAAGTCTAATAATCTTTCTAAACCTCAGTTTTTCCGTCTGAAAATATAGACATAGTGCCTGTCTCTGAAAGTTACTGTAAGACTGTAGGCAGAATATACAGCATTTTATACATTGTAAAATAATGTACAGATGTAAAGTGGCAGTGATTACATCACTTCTGTTATGTTCTGGCATTGTGGGTATGAGCTCTAGTGAACACTTCTAACCAGAACCATGCAGATTGTCATGGAACTGAAAGGGTTAAAAGTTTTCTACCTTTATTGGATTGTCATTACTGTCTGTCAGATGGACCTTTGTAGACTTCTGAAGCTAGCCAAATATATGAAAGTCCCAGTGGAGGAAGAAATAGAATCCTTATTTCCACGGATTCCTGCTTCCCTTGAATCTTATCAGAATGGTAGTTAGAGGCTTGAACAGAGCCCAGGGTCTGGGTCTGACCCTCCAGATGCTCACCAGTGGGTGCTTCACAGTGGAAAATTGCTTTCTTCATAGAAGGCATGAAGAGGGCAGGCTCTTGGCCATCAGTTCTAGAGGAGAATTCTATGAGCTGTTCCTCCAGCAGGGTCAGTATTGAGCAGACTATCTTTTGCTTTTACTGCAATAGACCTAACTCTTCAGGACTTCCCTTTCTGTTTCAAAGGATGTGATTAGATAGGCTGGCTAGTTTGAAAATAAAACATAATGCAATATACAAGCCTCATGTTCTATTTGGTAAGGGGTTCCCTTTTTTTTGTGGTAGTTTAAGTATCAACAAGTAACTAATACACCATTCAATCATTGATTCATTCAAACACTCACCAAGTCCCTACTGCATGCCAGGCACAATGCTAGGACTGGGGACATTGAAAGAACTAGGGCAGAGAAGAAGGTGGCTTTATAATCATCTCTTCCACTGATCTCTTAGGACTTTCCTGAGTCATACAAGCAAAATTACTCTTGTTCCCCCTCCTTTTTTTCTTCTCATTTATTTACTGTCTTTGGGAAAATAAGGACTCTAGAGCCAAAGATGTGGGAGCCATCAAAGGTCTGTAGCAAATACAGGGAGAGGGAGTACTACAGAATCAGAAACAGGGTACCAGAGGGGATGGTTAGCTGGGGCTTTGCCAGTCAGAGGTTCACAAACCTTTGTTGAATAAACACTTTGATTTGTTTGGACTCTTTGGAACCTTCTTGGGTTACATGTTCAGTTACTGAGTTCAAACTCTGACAAGGTCATTTCTACTGAAGTTTGGTATTATCGTTGTTTAGTCTTGTTACTCCCTGCTGAGTCCCCAAATCTATAGCTCAGCCTGGAGCCTGCACTGTCCTTCTCCTGGGCGTG